CCTGGTTGGTCAACGAGCAATTTAAGGGGCCATCACAGTTGATTAATCTTCGGGCCTCAGGGTCTGGCACTTACTAGGTGCTCAACATGAGAGAAATTAATGAAGGACCCCTTCTCTCGCGTTTCGGGGAATGATCTATCAATTGAATGGTATCGAACTGATCCTACCCGACTGGAACTGAAGATGAGAAGGAAAAATACCTGGGTGGGAGTGGGATCTAGGTTCCCATCTTACTCGAAGCTCAGCAGCACTGTGACCTCGGGTAAGTTACGTCGCCTCGCTGAACCTCGGAGGACTTGTCTCTAAAAAACGTGGAACATCACACCTCCCCAAGGACTGGGTACCAAGCAACGGAGCACACACCAAGCAGTTAGCAGGGTAGTGGTACGCATTTGGCGCTCAAAAATAGAAGCAAATAGTTGGGCAATGAACATTACTGTCAGCGCGTTGGTTCCAGGCTCAGATGCACCCAACCAGAAGGTTGTGGAGACAGGAAGCCTGGCGACACTGGGCGGTCGCCGCTCCCGCACGCGCCCTGCAGACTCCCGGGCTCGATCCAAAGGAGCGCTGCGCCCGGCTCAGGGGCTCCGCGTTGGGGGCTCCCGCCGGGCTCTCAGCTCCGGTGCCCTCGCTTCCCCGCCTTCAGGTGGCTCCCTGGCCCACTTCTCCCCTGGGGAGTCAAAGGCCCGAGGAGAGACTGAGCACCAGCAGGTCCCGCGGGCCCCAGAGGGTGAAGGTGAGGAGAAGGGCCATCTGTCCGCCGCGCCCAGCCGGAGGCCGCGCCTGGAACCGTGCACAACTTGGGCCTTGGGTAGGGGTCTCCCCTGGCACCCCTAGTTTCGAATTCTCCTCTGTCCCGTACTGCTTGTGGGATGGGGGACCAGTCATCTCACCTCTCTGAGTCTGTTTTCTCACCTGTCAAGTGGAATAATAGGACTTGCCTCGCAGAATGTGGCGCGACTTAAGACCCTGCAGGGAAAGCGCGAGACGCAGGGCCCCTCGCACGAAGAGCGCCGAGAAGTCAAGCGCTAGGATGGCAGAGGTTCTTTCTGGCTGCAGAACTGTGCCTGGGTCCCTGGCCCTGGTCTAGGCCGTATCCGTGGCTTTGACCCCGTCAAAGGGCCATTTTAGCGGGCTCGGGGGCGGGGACAGCAAACCAGGCTGCGCTTCTCTGTCCACCCAGGGGTGCACGCGGCTGAGTCTAACGTGCCTCGAGAGTTGATCCGGAGGAAAATGTTGTCGTGGTCTGTCTGTGTGTGTACAGATGTGAGTGTATCCACACGCGTGTTCGTGCGTCTGTGGTTGTGCGGGAAACAGCGTTATGGGTCGGCCTGCGTAGACTCCTTCTCCCAAAGGCACCCTCCCCCTTTTCTTCGCGCCCCATTCCGGGTAAAGAGTTTCAGCCAAACTAACGGAATCTGGAGCGGCCAGGGGAGGGCTGGGGACGGTAGGGGCGATTCCGTCCCGGAGCCACTGGTTTGGGGATAATTACTTTTAATGTCAGAAAGATTTAGTTTAATATCATCTCTATTAGGCTGCCGGGAGGGTAATTAAACGGGACGCGCCGCAGCCGGCAAACAGATGGCGTCTGCTTGCTCCGAGGCCGCGGGCAAACAGCGCAAAAGTCAATGCCTCTCGGGTCCCCCATCAGCGCCCCCGGCAATGTTCCTACTCAGCGCCACCGTGCTGCACCTCCAACCCCCTCCGCACCCTCAGCCCCCAACTCCAGCCTCACCCTGGGTCTCCACCGGGCCATCTCTTTGGACCGCACCCTTGCCCAGGCGGGGGTTGGGGCCGGCAGCGAACACGGGTGGAGGTGGGTTTTCGGGGTTGGGAGAGCTCATCCGGTACCCTCAGGCGTCCGCACAGCAAATGATTTTGAGCTAAGAGGAGATGCGGGAGGGAGTGTGTACGTGTGTGATCCTGTGAGGATGAGCTTTCTGCTCTCAGCCACCTCATTTGTCCCGGTGGTCTGTGTTTGTCTGCCTAGGGTCCAACTTCAGGGCCCTGGAATAGGGTTGGGTCCAGGGACAAGTGAAGGCACACTTGTGTGAGCATATGCTCCTGTCTAGGTGTTCAGTGACTGACCAGGGAGTCTGTGGATGTCTGAGTGTGAGGTCAAGTACTAAGTGGAAATCCTAGGATGAGGGCATGATGATGAGAGCCCTGTGAATTCAATCAGACTTTCTGATGGGGTCCTCTTGGATGGAAGACAGCGTCAGAGGTATGTGCATCCTGTGGGTGGTCGCTGCATGCAGGAGTGACCATGTACCCAAGATTTTTGCAGAATGAGGTTCCACATGCGGGGTGTGTGTCCAGGTGTGAAGCCACACTCTGGTGCAGGAGGTGTAGGAGGTAGACCCTGCTGCCTCAATCTGGGCATGTTTTCTCTACTGCTTGCAGCTGTGGAGCCACCCTGCTCTGGTCTGCCCCTCCTTGGGGACCTCAGTCCAAATCAGAACTAACCCCAGAGTGGCCTGTGGAGGTATGCGTGCAGTGACCTCCACCCAGGATGGTTACTCTGCTTCCCTCTATCCATGACACATTCACTCACATGAGCACCCCAACCTCCCAACCTCGGGTGCCCCAGAAGAAAGGTTGTATGTAGGTCCAGGACCTGTTGAGCTGTGAATGCAAGGAAAGAGGAGCCTGCTCTAGGAGTGGGCAGGTTTCCTCTGATTGGGCTAGGCTTCAGGATGTGTCCTGGAGGTTCCTCACACACTAGTGGGAGAGCTTGGGGTTCTCAAGTCCTTGTGGCTGAACCCTTGTCTGCGCCCTGGTTCACTCCGTTGAAGTCCTGGAATCCCACAGTGGCCTCGCCTCAAATGAGAAGAGGAGTGCCTGGGCCACCGCCCTCTAAAAGCTAGGCATATTCCTATCGTTCAATTTGTTTGGGGTTTAAGACAATTTCTGGAAAACCTTGTCCAATGTAGCTCTGGGGGAAGGCGCCCAGGGCGGTATGGGATCCAGCCACAACCCTCCCTCTCTCCCACACATCCTCCTGCCAGGGTGCAGTTAACTGAGAGATTTCCTTAACCTTATAACCTCAAGGTGTTGTAAGGTGGGGTCTGGGTCTTATACTCCTGCAGGACATATTATCTCAGACTCACTCCCTTACCTCACTCCAGGCGGGAGACTGGCAGAGCTGACCCCTTGCTCTCTCCCAAATTCTTCTCAGGCTCCAGCGAGTGGAATTTTCTAAGAGCGAAGGGCCTGGTTTATGTTACCATCAGAGACTCCACTCAGGGTCGGAGGGCGCTCGGTCGCCGGCCTGGTCAGCTTTCTGGAAGCTCTTTACCCGGCTCTTCCGCACACCACCCTCTCCTCTCTTCCCCTCCCTCCCTCAGCCTGGTCCTCCCGGACGGCATCCTGGAGGAACCGCGCAAGGCTCCGCGCTCTGAGGTGGGGCCCCGCTTGTCTGGGCGCTTTCCTCCTCCAGTCGCCAGCCCCCAGGTTCAGAGGCTGGGCTGCCGGGGCGCAGCCCACGAGTTGTGCCAGGGGGAAGGGGCTGCGTCCCGAGGCCCCTGGGCCGAGTCTGCACGCCCAGTACCCCCGCGCCCCAGGCGACGCGGGCGGGAACCCCGTGGCCCTGAAAGTTCTAAAGAACATCACGGAAACGCATGGTTGGGAGTGGAGGGAGAACAGCGTTTTGAAAAACTCATTTTTCCCATTAATTAAACAAATTTTCTTTACTCTGAAGGAAAGAGAGAAGTGGAGAATAAAAATGAGAGTGAGGGCACGTTGGAACGAGGAAAAGACAGAAAGAAAGGGCACAGAGAATCACAGAGAAACCCAAGGCGACTCTGCCCGAGGACTGCAGCATTAATTCCAGATGTTGCCATTCAAAAGGGAAACAAAATCCAAAACCTGTTACCTCCTCTGCAGATCGAACTGTTCCTCAGGGCCGTGACGTCAGTAGGGGAGAGGAAGGTGAAAGTTAAAACTACTCCTGGGGGTCGGTGGCGACCTTGTCTCAAGCCCGGAAGGACCGACAGACGGATGCGCGTCCTGCGTGCAAGAGGATCTGGGGAGACAGAGAGGTCACGTTTTACTTTCGTTTAAAAAAGAAAATTAAACTTTTTGTTAATTCGAAATAACACTGACAAAAAGAATCCCACCACCACGTAAAAGAAAACTAGGTGCTGCAGAAGTGAGGCGAGGAAAGAGCAAGAGGGGGCAAAGGGACGGAATTAGGGGGTGGGGAGAGGAAAGACGTGCAGCGCAAGGGACTCGGAGGGCTCCGACAGGAAGCGCAATCTCAGTTCTCTCCAGGATCCTCTTTAAAAACAAAAATCCTCATAAACCACACTTACCCTTCTTGATGACTATCATTTCGGGAATTTTAAAATGAAGAACCTGTGTTTTAAAGGCGGCAGGAGGAAAAAACAAAAAACAGCCCCCAACTAACCCAAACGCACCGTACTTGGGAGCACACCGTAACAGAGCCGGAAAGAGTCAAAAATCCTCTTGGCATTTATGCCATATGCCCTCTCCCTTCCCCACCCCCGAGTCCCCGTTCCACCCCCACCCCGACGGCGGTAATTGAATTGTCACCTGCCCCTATCCCGCCCCCGGCCACCAGGGCCACTTGGGAAACTCGGCCTTGCCAAGCGCCCCCGGCCAGTGAGAGCGGCGCAGCCAAGCCCGCGTCCCAGACGCCGAGGGGTTACACACAGCTACGTAGAGGCGCACCGGACACGGTAATTAGGCGCAATTCACACGCTCTTGGGCGCACGGAAACTACTTGTCACGGTATTTTCAACGCTCCTCCTAGCCTACTTTTCTCCACTCCTTCCCTGGCGCGCCCCTCCCCTCCCGGAGGCACTCAGTGGAGCTTTTGGAGTTTCGAATCTTTCGGACACTGTAGAATGCGGGGCTCCCCGGGCGCGGGCCCGGCCAATCAGAGCGCTGTCTGCTTCCCCTGGCCAATGGCAGGCGCCACATTGTTGTCCAATTCTGTCTAATGGAGCCCTAAGGAGCAACAATAGAGCCGGCGAGCGGCTCATTGAGAGTCTGGCAGCGCCGGGCAACTGGGGCGCGGCTGTGCGCAGCGTCCCGCGCGCTCCGCGAGGGGACGCCGCGCGGCGAGGGCCGGGTCGCGGGCTCCAGCCAGCCGGTCCCTAACCGGTCCCCTGGCTCGGATTTCCGACGGAAGGGTTGGACTGCGCAGCGTTCTGAGGGGGTCCGGAAGTTCGGACATGGTGACTGAAGGAGGGTGACGTGGTCAGATAAGGGACCAGGGGGCAGGGGGAAGAGGCCAAGAGCGTCAGCAACGCGAGCGGAGCTGGGAGGTGCGTGAAGCGCCAGCGGAGGAGGAGGATCCCGAGCCCAAGGCAGGTAGTTGAGGGACGCAGGGAGGGCAGGGGAGGCGGCCTGGCCTGCGGGCCCTGTTGACAAGGCCCGGGCCACGCCGGCCCTAGGGACTTCGCGGCCGCAGGGGACTGAGGGAAGAGGCAGCTCAAATAGGGAAGGGATCTAGGATACTGGGGCGGAGACCCCAGGACTCGGTCCCGGGCTCTGGCGGGAACCCAGGGACCCAGAGGAGCCCGGGGCCGAAGCTCAGGGCTGGGCCTGCTTGGGCCTTTTGGGGCCGCAGCGCAGGTGAGACTCCATAGCCAGTTCCAGAGGCGACTCCCCTGCCTCGGTGCTGTCTCCTGGGCCGTCCAAGTCCCAGGAACCCAATTCCGAGACCAGAACTCGAGAACCTGCACCCAAGTAGGGTCCCGCGGGGGATCCCAGGATGGGGAGGGCGTGTCTGACGATTCTGTCTGTCCCTAAAGCCGGAGGGGAAGAGACAGCAGTGTGAGACGGTCAGGGAAAGGATCTCCCTTCCAGGAATACCTAACTTTTCGCAAGATACCTTTTCCTTCCCGACTGCTCTTCCAGACTACAGGGCTAAAAATCGTGCCATAGGCTTTACTCCACCCCCACCAACAACCTTTGCCTGCAGGGTTTTTTGTTTTGTTTTTTATTTTTTTCTCATGCACACCTCTCTCCCCCACGTGAACCCTGGGACCCAGACATCCATATCAGCTGTTTTTTGTTGTTTTCCTCACTCCTCAAGCTAACCTTCTGGCTGTGTTTGCCTAGCCAAAGTTTCTTGGGCTTAATTTTCTCTTTAACTCTCCCCACGCCTACTAAACTCCTCACACTCATTTTTCTCTCCCATTCTCTGGAGGCCCGGCACCGTGAAACTTGTAGCCCCCACATTTCCACAGGTCCCTGGGGCCCCACGGCCTAACTTTGCTCCTGAGCTGTTTGTTTTGTTATCTAGCCTTCACTCTATTCCTAGAGCTATTCTTTTCTGTCCCTGATTTTTCTAACTCTCCTGCTCCCACCAGCATAAAAACTTCAGACCCAGCCATCTGAACTCTATACCTTGTGTGCTTGGATAGCTCTCTCCTTTTCATCTTTCCACAAAACTGAGCAGTTCGCCTCGAATTTTGTTCTGTTTTGTTTTGCTCTTGGTATCTAGTCTGACTGTTGGGTTAAAATTTTCTCTGAGTCCCATCAAACAGACATTTCTCTCTACCCGTCTCGCCCCAATTAAGCTAAACTTTGGGGGGATAATGTTTTCCTTTCCAAACCCTCGTTATATACACCTGAACCAGTGACTTTTCAAACTTTATATGTTTTTTTATTTTTTTTTCCAGCGGAACCACCGATTCAAACGAAATCTTAGACCCAGCGCATAAATCAGATATAAGAAGAAGAGCTCTGGTGGGAATAGGGTGGGGGAGCTCGGCTTTACAAGGGGGATCCGAAGGTACCTCCTTCCAGCAATTTGGCAACCACTAGCCAAACTTCCGCGACCGAAAAATTCCCTCCCTAAGCCTGATCTCCTCGAGGGTACGCTGTAGCTTAGCACACCGTGCGCTCCTCACCGCAAGTCTCTTCCTTCTTCCCACGGTCTTCTACGCCAGGTCCTGCCATGGAGCTGCGCTCCGAGCTGCCTAGCGTGCCCGGCGCAGCGACGGCGGCGGCAACGGCGACAGGGCCGCCCGTGGCGTCTGTGGCGTCGGTGGCAGCGGCGGCGGCGGCGGCCGCGTCGCTACCGGTGAGCGTGGCGGGTGGCTTGCTAAGAGCGCCGCCGCTGTTGTTGCGGGCGGCGGAGAAGTACCCGCGGACCCCCAAGTGCGCGCGCTGCCGCAACCACGGCGTGGTGTCGGCGCTCAAGGGCCACAAACGCTACTGCCGCTGGAAGGACTGCCTGTGCGCCAAGTGCACGCTCATCGCCGAGCGCCAGCGCGTCATGGCGGCGCAGGTGGCGCTGCGCCGGCAACAGGCGCAGGAGGAGAACGAGGCGCGCGAGCTACAGCTGCTCTACGGCACTGCCGAGGGCCTGGCGCTCGCCGCCGCCAACGGCATTATCCCGCCGCGACCTGCCTACGAGGTCTTCGGCTCCGTGTGCGCCGCCGACGGCGGGGGGCCGGGAGCGGGAGCGCCCGCGGGGACCGGAGGCGGCGCAGCGGGCGCGGGGAGCTCAGGTGAGCGCGCGGCCCGGCCGGGAGGAAAGGGAGCGGGGACCGGGCCTGGGGGCACGCCGCCCAGGGACTTGTCTTGGTACTGAAAGAGTGGAATCCCCTCTTCCAAACGCCCGACTGCTAAGAGTTCGCGGCGCACCCAGGCAGGCCCTGATCTGGGGCACAAACACATAAACTCTTTCTCCCCTTTCTGAAGAATTTGCCCTTTCTCTCACCGCGGGCCCAAATGTAGACGCTGGAATCGTTATCTCTACCCAAACGCGGCCGGGTCCCACCCTCCCTGCTCACTTGGCTCGGTCTCCCCAGCGTGAAACCTTTAACCTTGGTTCTGCTCTTCTCCACTTGCCGTGGTTCCCTTTGCTCCTTCCCAACTCTCTTCAGAAATCCGGCCCTCTCCCAGTCCTCCTCCCCCGCACCGCACCAATTTCTCTGGGTGTCAGGGACACCTCTTTCCTTTTCCCCGTGTGATTCCTTTTCTCCGGTTCCTAATGCTTCCCCGGACAACCGCACGCTGCGCCTGCTCCTTCTTTCTAGCTTCTTTCCCCACTTGTCCCCGTTTTCTCAAGAGTAGGCGCTCTCTCGCTTCCCTCGATCCCCACTCTTCTAACCCCCCTACTCCCCGTCTGCCCCCCCCTCCTCTTCAAGAATTTCTCGCCTTTTTCTAGGGAGGAAAGAAATTAAGGCTGGGGCCCTTGCGGGCCCTCTCAGCCCTCATCTTGGGAGTAAAGAACTTCTTAGGTTTTAATTTTGGAAAGGGTTGATTAGAAAATAGGGGTCTATTTTTGCCTGCAGAAAGGTTTGGGATCTCTTAGATACCCAAGGTGCCTTCCCTAACAAGCTATGTTGCCCAGGGCCAGAGGGCGCCCAGGGCAGGGTTCGCTCTTGGAATGATGGATGTGGAGTGGGGTCCTCTATACAGTAGGTGGTATAGGTGGAAGTTATATTGTCTCCTGCTTGAACTCTGGGCGAGGCCACTTCGCCGGGTCAGGGACCGGCTAGGAAGGAGGATAAGGGTGGAGGTGTTGAGGCACAGATGTGGAAGAGGGGAACTGGACATTGAATTTACAGGGCACAGGTAGTTGGGGTTCTGGTACAGAAAGAGTGCACCCTGGGGAGTAGGGGAAGTGAGACAGAACTGTAGGGGCTCAGAGAGTAAGGAATGCTGGAGGAAAAAGGAGGGGGTGCTGGAGCCCAGTGAATGAGGGTCGTCAGGTTCAGGAAACTGCGGTCCAAAGGGCTGATGTGCTGAGGGTGCCGTCACCTCCCCGCCCCTAATCACGCCTCACATCCCCTTTTCTCCCCTCCTAGAGGCCAAGTTACAGAAGTTTGACCTGTTCCCCAAGACGCTGCTTCAGACCGGCCGCCCCGGCAGCCCGCAGCCGCCACCGGGGAAACCCTTATCACCCGACGGCGCGGACTCGGGGCCTGGGACATCTTCTCCGGAGGTGCGGCCGGGCTCGGGCTCGGAGAACGGCGACGGCGAGTCCTTCTCGGGGTCGCCCCTGGCCCGGGCCTCCAAGGAGGCAGGTGGGAGCTGCCCGGGCAGTGCAGGCCCGGGAGGTGGTGGCGAGGAGGACAGCCCGGGCTCCGCCAGCCCTTTGGGCTCCGAATCCGGTTCCGAGGCCGACAAAGAAGAGGCAGAGGCCGCTCCCGCTCCAGGGCTGGGCGGGGGCCCGGGTCCACGGCAGCGGACGCCGCTGGACATCTTGACGCGCGTCTTCCCGGGCCACCGGCGAGGCGTCCTGGAGCTGGTGTTGCAGGGTTGCGGCGGCGACGTGGTGCAGGCCATCGAGCAGGTGCTGAACCACCACCGCGGGGGCTTGGCGGCCGGCCTCGGTCCCGCCGTGCCCCCTGATAAGGCCGCAGTGGGTGCAGTAGCAGCTGCGGACGACGCGTGGCCGGGCCGCGTCGACGCCGCCGCTGCCGGGGGGCCCGGGCTGCCCGCGCCGCTGCAGGCCGGCCCCGCCGCTCCTCCGCACCACAGACCTTTGCTGGCCGGCGCCATGGCGCCTGGGGCGCTGGGCTCGCTGAGCAGCCGCTCGGCATTCTCACCACTGCAGCCCAACGCCAGTCACTTCGGCGCCGAAGCAGGCGCCTACCCGCTGGGCGCGCCGCTCGGCCTCAGCCCCCTGCGCCTGGCCTATTCCGCGGCAGCGGCGCACAGCCGTGGCCTGGCCTTCATGGCTCCCTACTCGACCGCCGGCCTGGTGCCCACACTCGGCTTCCGCCCGCCCATGGACTACGCCTTCAGCGACCTCATGCGCGACCGCTCGGCCGCCGCTGCTGCGGTGCACAAGGAGCCCACCTACGGCGGCGGCCTGTACGGGCCTATGGTCAATGGCGCCCCTGAGAAGCAGTAGGGCCAGGGGCCCGGAAGCCGGGCCGCCCCCAAACGGGGACCCCAGCCTTGATCCCGCGGGCCGCCGCTCCCTCTTTGCCCGGTGCGCTCTCGGCGCCTCGGCTGGGGTGTTCTCGCTCAAAGGTGATTTTCGGTTTTGTTTTGGAAGGTGGGCGGAGAGCTGAGCGAAGGGGGAGCAAATACAGATGCAGGTCTTCTCAGAGAGGGTGCGTGGGCCTGATCCTCATCCTCTGGCCACCTCCTCAAGACTCCTCCAGCCCTTCAAAAGGCCGGGAATTCTTGAGAATCAGAGGCTGCGGCCGCCGCACACGCTCCCGCCTCTCCTTTTCCTGTGCTCATCCCACCCGCCCGCTCTCCAGTGGATGGCAGGATAGTCCGAGAGTCTGTCTTCTGTGTCTCCCTCTCCTTATTAAAAAATTTTAAAAAAATATTCGCTCTAACAAATATAAATTTAGGATGTATAAATCTCTTGACACTGAGTCGAGTCTTTGGGACACACATATATATATCGATATCAATTGTAAAAAAAAAAAAAGGAAACAAGTTCTAAGGTGCACTTTCCTCGTTGCGGTATTTGTCGCTCTCTTTGTTGCTTATGCCAATAAGCATGGGTTTCCTTGGTGCAGTGTGAGTTTTTATATATGTATAAATCTATATATAATCTATACATATATATATACAAGCCAGTGTATAATGTTATAAAATGGAATTCTAAGTTATTAATTGTAATCTGTAGGTGACCTCGGTATTAACGTGAAAAATATTCAAAAACAAGCAAAAAAAAAAGGACAAAATGGAAAAAAGTAGACTATGCGCGCATTGTACTTATCAGGTTTTATAGATTAAATATATTGTAAACTCGGGACAAATCCTGCCCACCCGCCCCTCTTGCCTGCGGCCGATCTCTCCCTAAGATGCGGTCAAGGTGCGCACTGAAGCAGGAACAGAGCGACGAGTGACTGAGCCAGAACCGCCCTCCCGAGAGCCCATCCTCGCCTCCCGGGACTCGCCAAACGCCCGGCCCGAAGGGACGGCAGCGGGAAACGCTGCTGCAGAGAATGGCTCACTTTGTGCTTTCCTTTGCATAGACATGAGCTAGAAATAAATGTTATTTTCTAAGAAAACAGCACCGGATCCCGTCCTGCTCCTCTGTAGGCCGGATTGAAAAGGTCTTGAATTCGCGTTCGGGCCCGCGGTGCCAGCTAGACTTCAGTCCGGCTGATGTCCGACCCTCGGGGGTGCGGAGCCGGAAAACTTTGTGTGGCGCCGGGAAAGGCCCCGCCGACGGGAGGGGCGCGCGGCTCAGAGCCCCGCGAGGAGCGGTGCCCCCTGCGCCTCTGGGATCCCGCGTCCTTCCCACTCCGGTTTTGGGCGCGCAGGCGCGACGGGTCGCCTTGCCAGTGCTCAGGATCCCTGAATTTCGGGCAGAGCCTCATACGGAATCCCGAGAGGCTGGAGGCCGGATTTCGGTTCTCCCCGGGGCCTCAGATTTGGACACAGCCGGGGTCGCGCAATGCGCGCTTCCCTTCTCAATGAGGTTTGGAACCCAGGTGACAGAGGCGGCGGCTGGGAAGGGAGAGCTGCGACGGTTCTCCCACAAAGGCTGGTGACCTGGGAGTTATTTTGGGGTGGTGGGGGTGGTGGGGCGCTGCCCTCGCCAAGAGACAGGGTGATCCGAAAGTGGCGGTGAGGACGCGCCTTCCAGCCAGACCTCGCTCGGCACCCTAGTTACCTTCCCTTCTCTCGCCGGGCTGAGCACAATAGTGGCTCCCCCGTCGACCCCCTCCTCCAACCTCCCGGGGCCTGCTCCGCTCCCTGCAGGGTGACTCCCCCTCTCCGGGAAACAGGGTGCTCCCTCCCCTAGTCTGGGCCCGGCGACATCCCAACGTAAACTTCTGGGGCCGGCTCGAGTTCCGCCAGGCGGTGAAACTTAATAGCAGGACAAGAAAACGGTTTAATAAAGAAGGGCTTTAATAGGGAACTAATTTGATTGAGTTGCCTAATTCCACTTTAATTGGAAAGGGGTTTGGCTGTTTGGTTATAAAGTGCGAGGGTGACAACGAGATGGAGGTGGGGGAAGAAGGAGCGAGAGAAGAAAGATGGGGGCAACAGAAGGGCTGAAAAAGGGAATGAAGGTAGGAAGAAAAGAAGAGAGAGAGGAGAAAGAAGAGGGAAGAGTTACTGGGAAAAAAGAGGAAGGCTCGAGAAGCGCGGGAGCTTTAAGAAGTGTGAACTTTCTTGCCCTTCAGGCTGCTCCCTCAAGCCTCCCACGCCCTCCTCCTACTCCAGGTTTTTGGAAGCCTCGGGTCCTCTCTTAGTCCAGGTGCCAGCCACCGCCTTTCTGGCCTCTGCCTTCATCCCCATTCAAGGTGAATCTAAGATCTCTCTGGGTCTCTTGGTTTCAGGAGGGACCTATACTGAGTCTCCCGGAGCTCCTTGTTTCCTGCTGGTGCTCAAGCCAGACCCCAGGGCTTGGCTTGGGGGCCGGCATTATCCACTCTTGAGAACATCTGGAGCTTCAAAGATTTCAAGATTAGTGTTTTAGTTCATCCTCACAGCAAACCCGGAATAATCCGGTGAGTTGTTTATTAATGGGTCCATTTTACAAAGGAGGAAACTGAGGTCCAGCGTGGTTTATAGACCCGTCCAACCAATCCGGGGACTCTGGACCTCTTTTCCTCTGCCCTGTCGGGGTGAACCTCCTCCTCTCCTGGAGCGGTCTCTCCTGGTTGAAGGTGGGGGCTCTGCAGACCGCCCCCCCCCATGAACTCCTGCGGCTCAGAGAGAGGAAGCACTTTGCCTCAGCTCCAGGCTGCCAGCCGCTTTGGTTGAGCTCAGAATGATTCGTGAGCGGTGAAACTTTGAGAGGGTGGAATAGTGGGGTTCCCAGGTTCCTCTCATCCCCGGCCCCATGAGTCTTGGTGGCCCAGACCTGGGGATGGAACCCCAGGGCTGTCAGTCACAACCTTGACACCTGGCGAAGGGCTGCACCCATGCATGCCCCTGACCCCACTTGCCTACTGAGCAGTCAGGAAGACTGAGGCTCAGAAACTGACAGTGACCGGCCCAGGGTTGTACGTTCAGGTTCTGCGGAGTCAGACTCAGAACCCAGGACGCTCAAGCCAGTTTGTTAGGTGGCAGTGGTGGGAGTGGGGCTGGGCCAGTAGGCGCCTCTGCAGCAGGTGGGATGAGGCTGGGGCCCGAGCTCTGCTGAGTTCCACTGGAAGGATCACTGGGATCCCAGTCATGGGAGGCAGCAGCAGCCTCACCTCTTCTTTGTGGGGAGGAGAAGGTGGGATGAGAGTTTCCTCCTGACCTCTACAGTCCATATTTATTCCCAAACTTTCCCCTAAGTCTGCTGGAGCTGTGCTTAGCCTGGATACTGGGAAGACCTGGGCCTGATCACCATGGGGGAGCTAGGGCTAGTGTAGTCATTAAACTTACTTTCCTCCTCCTCCTCTTTCTTCATAACAACAGCAGCAGCTACAAATTACTGAGTACCTACTGTGTACCAGGTCCTGTACACAGCACATTTCATATGGATCCTGCTCAGTGGGTGAAAAAGAGCCAAGAGTTGGGATCCAGGCTCTGTTTCTGGCTGAGTTTATTCATTCACAATTACTTCAGTTAGCAAATGTTTACTAAGCACTTACTGTATGCCAAACCCAGTTCTAGGAGCTTGGGATACACAAGTGTGCAAGACAGGCACCATCTCTACCCTTTAAAACCTCACAGTGTGTGGGGGTGTGGACAGAAGCAACTAAACAGGCAAGGTGGATGCACTGATCAGTGCCCCGGGGCTCAGGGAGGTCTGACCAGGGAAAGGTGAGTTGGGACACTTCACCTCAGCTTCCTCCTCAGTGAAATGGGGTTGATAGTAACTATCAGTCTGGATGCTGTGAGGATTGATTGAGAGAATGTTTAAAAATCTTTTAGCTCAGTGCCTAACTGACCAGGCACATTCATTATAATCTCAGATACTTTGGTGTGGGTATTGTCCCATTTCATAGAGGAGTACACAGTTCAGAGGGATCGAGTGACTGGAGCAAATTCCCCTTATAAATCCTCTAAATTGTCACAGGTTATGGGAGATGGGAAGTGCCCTGCCTGAGCAACAGGCCACAGTGAAGGATCATCAGATGGGAGAGTGTGGATTCTGGAGATGCTTCTGAGGGAAGGTGAGGCTGCAGCTAAGTCCTGAGGACATTGGAGAAGGGCAGCATTAGTGATCCATGGCAGGAAATTGGTGAGGGAAGAGCAGGTGGAGAAGGAGGAGGTGGGGACAGGTGGTGATGTTGGACAGAAGTCAGAGATCAGATCAAGGGGAACCTCAAGCTCCAGGGTAAGGGGCCTAGGTTTCAGAGTGAGGGTACTGGGGGCCAGTGACAGCATGCCTGGTGAAATTTGCATTTGGACTGGATACATTGTTAGGGGAAGGCCAAACCCATTTAAGGAAGAGTCATGTAAGATGGTAGCACCCAAAAATGACCAGCGGGGCAGGGACAGGGAGAGAAAAGGTTGACTTCAAGAACTATTGGGAGCCAGACCCTCCACTCTTGATCCAATGGATGCTGGTGGGGAGTAAACCAGGAGGAGGGCTCATGGATAATTTCAAGGTGTCTGGGCTGCTTGACCCTTTGCAGGTGACAGAGTTGTGGGCCCTTAGAGAAGGGACAAGATTGGAAGGTGAGGAAAAAATTTCAGTGTTCAATATATAGAATTTGAGGAACGTATGGGGCTTCTAGGTGTGGACACCAAATGGTAGAAAGGGCCTTGGGAGGAATGAAGTAGCCCAACCCTTTCTCCACACTGGACATAGGACTCCTTTAATGGAGGCCGTGGGCCTGGGGGAGGGGGGTTCTTGAGACCCCAGACATTGGAGTTCTGCCTCTCACTTTTTCGGTTCATTCCAAGAAGGCTGACCTATGAAAATAATTCTCTTAAAATTTTGCACCCTGTGAAGGTTATTGTCCTGGAGCAGGACCCTGGGAAGCCTGTCCCTGCCTTTATTGTGACACCAATGAAGCTTAAACTTCAGAGGTCCCCACCTGTACAGGTCCCTTTCAAACTTCCCCTGCTTTCTGCTCCCTGAAGCTTTAGCTTCAGTGGCTTTCTGCCCTCTCCCCACTTGTCCATCCCCACCTCACCATGTCCACTGAGCTCATCAGAGTCACCTAACAGACCATGAACTTTCCTGCATCTTTGCCCATGCAAGTCCCTCTGCTTGGAAGGCCCTACCTTTTTCTTCTACTTTGAAGACCATCCTCACTTGCCCCAAGGCCCAGTGACACCAAAGGAACTTAAAGTTCAAGCCTTGTCACTTAGAGAGGAAGATGGTGGTGGAGTTGGAGGACCCTAGACTTGCCTCTTCCCACAAATACAACAAGATTACTATCCTAAATACCCCAGAAATTGATCTGAGGACTGGTAGAACAAACTCCACAACTAAAGGTAGAGAAGAGGCCACACCAAAGAAGGTAGGAATTGCAGAGACGGAGATGCAACTTGGGAGAGAAAGGGATAGTGGTCAATGCCATGGGGAGGGAGCCACGGTCACAGAGAAGGGCAAGAGACAAACTAGCACACAGGGGAGCACATGGGGAAAACAAATCCCCATAGCAATTGGCTTGGAAAGCAACAGGGCCTGAATTTCATGAGTTCTTGCAACCAGAAAGGCTTAAAGCCTGGAGTTTTAAAGGTCAGTGTGCTTGGCTCTGGGAAACTTGGAGGACGTTAGGGCTGCTTTTGGAGAAAAGGCAGAGCAAACAGCCTGTGGACATACAGCTTGGAAACAGTGATCTCAAGAATGCCTGAAATACACAGTGGGGAGTTTAGTTGCTCATCTCAGAGCATGTCCTAAAGAGGCAGTTTTCATGAAAAGACACCTCCAGGAACAAAGGAAGGTAGCTGGCACCATTTCCCTCTTCTGCTCATCAGCATAAACACAGGGCAGTGCCAACACTCACTACCTAACTTGCTTACACCAAACCCCACACTCTATGCTTCAGAAGAACCACCCTTCCCAACTGTACTTGCTTCAGTCCCAGCATGGCAGGCCCCCTCACCCAGAAAACCAGCCCAAACCCCTGCCAACACCATATCTCCTGACCTGGAAGTTTTGTGAGG